ACACATACACATACACACACACACATACACAGACACACATACACAGACACACATACACAGACACACATACACAGACACACACATACACACACATACACACACATACACACACATACACACACATACACACACATACACACACATACACACACATACACACACACACACACACACACATACACACACACACACACACACACACACACATACACACACATACACACACTTCCCCGGTGGAGAGCCTCCAGGCCGTGGCAAACATACCACCACTCTCACTCAGACGCACACAACTCTCTCTACAATACGTAACAGAGCTCAACACCAGAGAACCCAGCACACAACTGCATTTTTAAAACAAACCCAGAAACCATAAACAAATTCCAAAACAACGATAAAATCATCAAACCCTACGGTCTCAGAATCCTTGAGGACCTCAAAAACTTACACTTTTCCAAACAAGACATCCAACAATTTCTTTTCCCCGACCTCCCTCTGTGGCACCTTACCAAGGCAAAAGTAGACTTACAGTTGACCACACACGACAAAGAAAGCACAAACACCAAAACATTTAAAGCAGAACATAAAAAACTTATAGAAAACGGCGCAGAGCTTATCTTCACAGATGGCTAAAAAAAAGACAATGTGGGCGCCGCAGCCCTATCTTCCAACAGTACACACCAGAGGAGACTCCCTCCTGAAGCCTCCATTTTCTCTGCGGAGGCCACTGCCATTGACAAATCTTTCCTTATCCTTTCTGACTCTGTCTTGCATCACCTCACTCACAAACTACACACTCCTACCCCCAAAATTAGTTAGGCTACAACAGAAAATTCACACCCTATCTAAAACAGGAAAAAATATCGTGTTTGCATGGATACCAAGCCATGTGGGCTTCCGAGGAAACGAGCAGGTAGACGACATGGTGAAGAAATCCTCATCCCTTCTGTCGGGATCAACGACGAACACTCTCCCACCGACTGACTTTAAAAATAAAGTCAAAAGTACACCTCCAGTCTGTGGGAGAGCCACTGGAAAAAAAAAAGAAAAATAATACTCTACAATACAAAACCCAAACTGGGGCAGCGAAATCCTTCGGACCTCTCCAGAAGAGACGAAGTCATTTTTACTCGATTGCGCATCGGGCACACGGCCCTAACAGACAAATACCTCCTTCAGGGAGATGAGAACCCGTTCTTCTTCGGATGCGACACAGATTTCACCATTAAACACATTTTAACCGAATGTCTAGACTTTGGAGAGATCCGAAGGAAATACTTTAAAAGCAAAAAAATTGCAACACATTTTTTCCGTCGTTGGTCCCAACAGAATTTTGAATTTTATGAAGGCCATTGGCCTTTATGGAAAATTGTAATATAGAACAAAATTGAATAATTAAAATTTTTTATGGAAGTTGTTTTAGTCTGTGATTATATATCTACATCAAATTTTTAATATTTTAACTTTTAAGATCAAATAACCCGTACATAGCCGTGCAGTAAACCACGAATAAAAAAAACAACCCAACTTGTGTTTCGCGCGCTCATATAACCTTATGCTGTTGCGAGCGCCGTAAAACCCCAAACTAAACAACGAAAAACCTTCAGTAGCCGTTCTGTGTCGGATGCGACACCGATTTTACCATGAGACACATTTTTACAGAACGTCTGGACTTCGGAGAGATCCGAAGGAAATATTTTAGATGCAAAAAATTGCAAGATCTGTTTTCCGTCCTTGACCCCAACTGAATATTCGATTTTATAAAGGTCATTGACCTTTATGGGAAGTTGTGTATGGGATTGTTTAAAAGATTTAATATTATTTAAAAAGTTGTTTTCAATTAATTTATTTACATCAAAATGTTATCATTATAGTAGAGGTGTTGACCAGAATCGGGCTGTGCAATGAACGGTTGCGAATAGAACCAACCTTTTTTCGCGCGCTCATATAACCCTATGCAGTTGCAAGCGCCGTAAAACTATTACTAAAAAGATTCCATCAAACACCTATTTCACAAAGGTCTGGTGTCGTTTTAAGTGACCAAAGCACTGCGTGTGGGAGGTTGGCGGGTGCTCTGGTGTGTTTGGTCCTTCTTTCCTATCAAGCATCTATCATCTTGATTTCCCCTCATTTTTGTGCTTATTACTTCCTTGTAACAACTCTAATCTTCGGCACTTTTATGACCTAATTGTGTTGCAAGTGCGGTAAAACTCTTACTTAAACTAAAAACACTTACGAAAAAAAAGTACCGCGTAAAATAGTTACAACAAAACGTTGTGAAGCAAAAAGCCACCAGAAGATGCAGGGTTGTGAAGAGTTTCACTGACGCACCGGATGTTTTTCTTTTGCAGGGCGTGCTGAAGCTGAGCACGGAGCTCCACTCGGCCAGGCAGCAGCTGTGGGGGTCGTAGTCGGCCCTGCCCCTCTCCCTCTAAATCTTCCCCTGGCAGCTGCCCCTGCTCCTCTACCTTTTAATCTTCCTTTGGCAGCTGCCCCTGCTCCTCTACCTCTTATTCTTCCCCTGGCAGCTGCCCCTGCCCCTCTTCCTCTAAATCTTCCTTTGGCAGCTGACCCTGCCCCTCTACCTCTAAATCTTCCTTTGGCAGCTGACCCTGCCCCTCTTCCTCTGAATCTTCCTTTGGCAGCTGACCCTGCCCCTCTTCCTCTAAATCTTCCTTTGGCAGCTGACCCTGCCCCTCTACCTCTAAATCTTCCTTTGGCAGCTGACCCTGCCCCTCTACCTCTTAATCTTCCTTTGGCAGCTGACCCTGCCCCTCTACCTCTTTATCTTCCTTTGGCAGCTGACCCTGCCCCTCTTCCTCTAAATCTTCCCCTGGCAGCTGACCCTGCCCCTCTCCCTCTTATTCTTCCTTTGGCAGCTGCCCCTGCCCCTCTACCTCTTAATCTTCCTTTGGCAGCTGCCCCTGCCCCTCTACCTCTTGATCTTCCTATGGCAGTTCACCCTGCCCCCCTCCCTCTTAATCTTCCTATGGCAGCTGACCCTCTCCCTCTTCCTCTGAATCTTCCTGTGGCAGTTCACCCTGCCCCTCTCCCTCTTAATCTTCCTATGGCGCCTCATCCTGCCCCTGTCCCTATCCATCATCTTCCTCTGGCAGTCGACTACGCCCCTCCGGCTGTGGTATTCAACAACCCACATGCTCCTCGAGGATGGCACCGGGCTCATCCAATGCCAGGCTTGCAGGCGACGTTTCCCATCATCATTGTTGCACCTGCAGCCTGGCATCCACAAGCTCCACCACCTTATGGCGTAAGTGTTTTGTTTTGTTGGAAATGGTTTAGATTTTCTTTTCTTTTTTTGTTTTGTTTTTTGGTTGTATTTTTGTTTTTGTACCCTCTTTTTTTTCTTGTTTGTTTTAGAAGTAAAAGTTTTACAGCGCCTGTAACTGCATTAAGGTCATTGGAACGTGAGGGACTCCAACGTATTTTACTGTATGGTTGAAGTTAAGGCTTCGTGGTCAAAATGTATTTTGCTTTACGATTGAAGTTGAGAATTCTTGGTCAAAATCCAATAGTAACAACAGACATTTTTATCGTTTTGTATAACAGTATTATCCGTATTTTTACTTTAAAGACCAAAAATGGAGAATTCTGTTAGGACCAACGATGGAGGAGAACAATTTCTTCAAATCAGTGCTTTTAAACTAATTCCTTCAGGTCTCTCCAAAGTCTGGTAAATTCCAGGTCGTCAGATCGGCATCGCATCTGACACAAGATTAATGTTCCAACCTTCCCCATGGCTCTTGGCAACCTGTTGTTTCCCGTTTTTATTCAGATAGGAAGTCCGCTTCTAAATGATTTTATAGATTATTTAGGTGGGGGTGTAAACACGCCTAATTTAAATAATAATGATAATGATGATGATGATGATGATGATAATAATAATAATAATAATAATAATAATAATTTTTCTTTTTCTTCTCTCACAGGCCTACAATTTTGTCATTCACGTGGCTGAAAGAGACATTGTAAACTTCATGGGGCAGCAGCAGGGACGGAGACAGTTGGTTCCAGGAGGCCGGAGACTGCCTCTCCCTCTCCCTCCTGTCCCTCTTCTACCTCTCCCTCCTGTCCCTCTTCTACCTCTCCCTCCTCCCCCTGCTGCTGCTGCTCCTCCTCACGCTGGCCAGTCTGTGTGGAAGCGAGTGTGGGCGTCTGTGTCTTCGTTTGTACGTTCTGTTTTAAACTTTTTTAGGTAGTGTGTGTGTGTGTGTTTGTGTGTGTGTTTATGTGTGTGTGTTTGTGTGTTTGTGTTTGTGTGTTTGTGTTTGTGTGTGTGTGTGTGTGTGTGTGTGTGTGTGTGTGTGTTACTAGAGTTACATGAAACGCTGTAGATGTTTCTTGAGTTTCATGAATTGTAAATGGCCTGACTCATGTCACGCTCATAACTGTGCCTGATCTACAACAGGGAACTGCTGCTTTTTCTTTCCAGATCCTTACTATTGTCATTTTCCTCTACTTTTGTATGTTTGTCACTCATTTGTGACCTGCTATTTCCGGGGAGCCTTGATAGTCGAAGCAGACCTTGTGTTGTTGAAGCTAGAGAAGGGAGCAGTCTAAGTCTGATTCCCTGTAAAGACTTCTCTGTTGACACCCACCTCTTGGCTCTCATATGACCTTTTGCAGTTGTGAGCGCCGTAAAACCCTCTATTATTTTTTTTAAAGTTACATGAAACGCCGTAGTTGTTACTAGAGTTACAGGAAACGCCGTAGCTAGCAAGGTTTAGAGCAAGGGTGTAGAGATTGTATGTGTGGGACTGTATGTACTCTTGGCTCTCTTAATTTGTCGGCCCATAAATCGCAGCTGCAGACAAACTTGTGCGGTGTCGCAGTCAGACACGCGAGAGATGTGAGTTGGAATCTGTAGTAGTACAAGGAGAGGTTTTGTGGGGGAACTCCACGTCGTCTTTCTGATGATACGTTGGTTGTGGGTGGTTGGCGGGTGCTCTGGTGTGGTTTGCTTTTCTATCAAACGTATATCGTCCTTATTGCCCCTCCATCTTTTTTATGTTTGTTACGCTCTTGTAACACCTCTAATCTTCTGGCGCACATATGGCCTTATGCAGTTGCGAGCGCCGTAAAACCTCTTCATTGCCCCCCCCCCCCCGGGCCCGAGTCGGCTGTGACTGGCCTGGTCCAAGTGACCCGATTCATGAGAATCTCGGAACTGTTGGAAGATCCACTTTCTGGTCATTCGAGAAATGGTCAAGACGACCTTTTTGTAAGTGGCGTCGGTGGCCTAGTGGTTAGGCTACCGGACTCGTAATCGTGAGATTGCAGGTTCGGGGGTTCGAGACTCAGCTCGGTCCGACATTGTGTCCTTGGGAAAGGCATTTTACACGAATTTCTCACTTGGTTCCGTCCTGTCGGAGATGGACGTTAAACTTGGAGGTCCCGCCTCTTAAATAATCTAACAGTGTTGATAGGGGCGTTAAACCTATACCCTTTTTACTTTCACCCATTTGTAAAAGAAGAGTGCCTTCGTTATCCGAAATGATTTTTTACTTTGCTTTTACTTTTATCCGCCGCTTATACCCCTTTGGGTGTCGCGGGAAGAAAAAGACGTCTCTCTGTCGCCAGCCGGAGACCTTGGGTCAGGGGGATGCCGTGGGTGGTTAATGTTTCCCTGACTCCATCTATCCAGGTCTTACTCTGTCGCCCTCTAGCCTTGTTGCAATTGAATTTTTTAAAATGTTGGCACGTTGTGCTGGATGGTGTGTTGGCAATCGCATAAGATGTCTAAACCATTTGATTCTTTGGTATTGGATGTGTTGCATGACATCATTTGAGCCCCTTTTCTCAGTTGACTGTGTTTCTTATTTTGTCTCGCCTGGTCTTGTTTACTGCTTTTCTTTCTAAATTCTGTTTTCTTCACCTGCAACTACTTTTGTCTAGCAACATGCACGCTATGAAGTGTGGGAATTCCCCGTTCTCATTTATGTAAGTTTATTCAGTGTTTAAGGCCATTGGCCCTCGTCACATTACACAAAACACTCATTTGATAGATAGTTTCCATAATAAATAAGTAAAGTTTGTAAACATATCTCTTATCACGGGTCAGACATTGCATATATCTGTCACTGGGCCGAGTCAGGCTGGGCGGGGGGTGGGGGGGGGGGGGATTAACAATTTGCTTTGATGGACAAAGTGTGAACAATAGAAATTAAAGTGAAATTCATCTTCAATTTCCTTAGAGTTACACCTCTCACATAAGGGCGAATTCGTTCATTTCCACCAATAGAGATTGCTATGTCATGGAAGGCTATCGGTTTTTAACAAAGCTATGACTTTTCTGCTCCAATACCGTGGGAGGTTGGTGGTGGTATATCCAGCTGTTTCTGATTTCTGTAGAATGGTTTGAAATGGGCTGCCATGTTACACCGAATTTAAATATTTTAACTTTTTGGCATTTTAAAGTAAATTAGTTAACCAGTCGTGAAGTGAACTTTTGCAAAGGTGAACAACTTGTGTTTCGCGCGCTCATATGACCTTAGCAGTTGCGAGCGCCGTAAAACCTTATACTATACCATACCGTCATCTCAGGTGTGTTGCAAGTGCCGTAAAACTCTTACTAAAACCAAACTTTATCTCAGTTGTTTAGCAAGTGATGTAAAACTCTTACTAAAACCAAACTTTATCTCAGTTGTGTTGCAAGTGCCGTAAAACTCTTACTAAAACTAAACTTTATCTCAATTGTTTATCATGTTCTTCGCGGATCCTAATGAGGCGTTACTAGGCGTCCGCTCTTTGTGGAGTATTCTAAATAGGAGCTGTGGGTGGTTGGCGGGTGCTCTGGTGTGGTTTGCTTCTTCTTTCCTGTCGAATAAGTATTGTTTTTGTCTCCCCTTCTCCTTTTTATGCTTGTTACTCTCTTGTAACATTCGGTTGATAGTGCCGTAAAACATCTACTCAATCAAATCTCTTGTAACACCTCTAATCTTCGGAACTTATATGACCTTATTGTGTTGCAAGTGCCATAAAACTCTTACTAGGGGGCTCTCGGGGCCTAGAGGTTAAGGTGTTTGCCGCTCATTCAATGATCCCGGGTTCGAATCCCGGTAGCAACTGAAAAACTTTTCTTCTCTAGAATTGTTTCACTTCACTTCTTTTCTTGCTTTCTGGCAATGTTCTGTCGTCTGCTTTCGTCTCCTCTTTCTGCCCCCACCCCTCACCTTTAGGCCCCGAGAGCCC